TTTTTTGGCAAAGTCTAATCTGGCCTTGTTTGCAGCTTGTGGTGAGGCCTCTGTATTTGCTCTGGTGAAGTCTTCTCTTGATTGTAGACGTTGACAGAGACTCGTCTGCCTCCTGGAGAGTGTTCTTCTCTTGGCTGGATGTTGTGAAAGGGCTTTTCTTTACCACGGAGAGGATTCTCTGATCGTCCACCACTGTTTCCTCTGTGGACGTCCAGTGCGGTCTTTTTTTCTCAGAACGTACCAACTGTTGATTTGGCCGCTCCTAATGTTCCTGCTATCTCTCTGATGGATCTGTTTTGATTGTGAAGCCTAACAATTGTCTGTTTCACTTGTACTGTATGAAGAGATGCTTTGACTGCATGATCAGCTTCCGAATGCAAATGGCACACTTAGAATCACCTACAGAACTTTTACCTGCTTAATTGATGTAGAAATAATGAAGGAATAGCCCACATCTGTCCATGAAACAGCTTTTGAGTCAGTTGTCCAATATGGTCCCTTATTGTGGAAAAAGGGGGCGGTACATATTAAAGAGCTGTAATTCCTTAACCTTTCCTCTAATTGCGATGAGAATATCCTCAAATTAAAGCGCAGAGTGTGCACGTTAAGCCCATATTCATTATAGAACTGTATATAACTTGAATATGTTTTGGTCAGCAGCTAAAACAATACAAATTGTGCCCGTGTCTAAACATATATGGACATAACTGTACATAATATAAATTATATGAATATAAATATATGTAAATATTTTCAAAATATATACTGTATGGATGTGTATTTAGATATACATAATAAATATACACAGTACATAGATATACATTATGCAAACAAAAACTTTTACAGTTTTTCTCATTCACTTTGGTGCATTTCTCGATCGATCCTTAATATTTGCAAAGAAGTATGTGCATTTCTCAAAACAATTCGTACAAACAGCACCACACAATGGATTACCTGCAAAAGCCTGTAACTTACTCAAAATCTTTAGTTCATTTCTCAAAAGTAAGTATTAATGTCAATGAACATATCAGTGGCATCAGAATGAAAAGTCCTCGTGCCATTGTTCACAAGCAAGATAGTCAAAATGCTTAGTCATGTTGTCAATATAACAGTGCACTCTGTTAGTATTACCTGATACTAAAAACTATGGCAACAGTTTGTATTGAATAGCTGTATTGAAATGCATAAGGCTGCACTTCTTATATGCCATATATCCATTTCAAAAGAACAAATTCACGCATTACTGTATGTGGGGTATTCATTGAAAGAGACAGGATAGGATTCACAGTTTCACTTTTACTAGCGGTCTGACAAAAACAACAACAAAACAAACTAGTACAACGTTGTTGTGATATAGAAAACGAAATATAGGCACAAATGCGAAAATACAAAATTAGAAAGGCAAACACAGGAAACACCCCTTAGACAGAACTTTGCTTTTGCATGCAGCTCTGTATGAGGAATTTCAGAGAACTGGTTTATCATTGGTTGATCCACATTCTCTTCATGAAAGTCAAGATTCCCCTGCACAATTCATGGCGAATTTACAAAAAGTCTATTAGAAATGTGTAGAAAATATGCTTGACAGTTTATGACAACTAGATCAACCATTTTGCATTTAATGACGTATACGATGAACTAATGCCTAGATGTTTTGAGGGGTAAGACTATTGCACAGAGAACTATATAATACATTTTGAGCAACATGACAATAGCAACTGATACCGCAGACAAACCGCAGACAAGTTAGTTTTATCGTCAAAGCTCTGTAGTTTTTATTGTGTGTGCAAAACATATCATGTTAAGCAATACAATGATGATTGAGGGATGATGAGTAATTACATGATCCTCAAAAGCCTGATGTATCTTATTTGATACTCACAATTTAACTTGATTTTTATAAGTAATCATGTATGGATAACCAAGTAAACATAAGTTGCTTCAGTCCAGTAAGTTTTCATCTTTCGTCTTTTACCTTCTAAAATCAGATGAAGGAAGGCATGTAGCAGATTATGTACAACAGGCTTTTCATAAAAACTGTGATCATGTTGATAATGTAGAGGTCTCAGAAATGTGCATATATACTGTAATACAGCTGTTTTTTTCTACCAGATTGATAATGTTCAGAGAACCCTTTTACTTGCTCATAATCGTAACACTCATAAGATTTATTCACAGCTGTGATGATGGCCGGCCCTCTCAGAAAAAGGTGAGGGGGAAATAAAAACAAGCAGAGTTTCTGTAGTATTCTCTTCAGTGCTGAATAAGTGTCATGTGATAGTCCTTCTCCCGAGGGATGATGAGTAATTACATGATCCTCAAAAGCCTGATGTATCTTTAACAATTTAACTTGATTTTTATAAGTAATCATGTATGGATAACCAAGTAAACATAAGTTGCTTCAGTCCAGTAAGTTTTCATCTTTCGTCTTTTACCTTCTAAAATCAGATGAAGGAAGGCATGTAGCAGATTATGTACAACAGGCTTTTCATAAAAACTGTGATCATGTTGATAATGTAGAGGTCTCAGAAATGTGCATATATACTGTAATACAGCTGTTTTTTTCTACCAGATTGATAATGTTCAGAGAACCCTTTTACTTGCTCATAATCGTAACACTCATAAGATTTATTCACAGCTGTGATGATGGCCGGCCCTCTCAGAAAAAGGTGAGGGGGAAATAAAAACAAGCAGAGTTTCTGTAGTATTCTCTTCAGTGCTGAATAAGTGTCATGTGATAGTCCTTCTCCCTCATTTCAGCACAAAGTCCTGCTGCGTCAGTTCAGCACAGGGAACGACAGACTGCAGAAGAAACAGCCGATCAAAAGCACAGACGAGAGTGAGTCTGCATCTGCTCTCTGTTGTGACTGACAGAACACTATTCTCTCCTGTGGTTAATTTCACAGATGTGATAGATAGATAGCTAGATAGATAGATAGACAGACAGACAGACGCGCACACACACACACACACACACAAGCTATTTTTCCATTCTTATCACCATATTGACTGCCATTTCCTCTGTTTTCATTAGTGTTTGATTAATTGCAGGGTGATTAATTCCATGTTTGCAGCGTGATTCTTATCTCTTTGACCTCTGGCTGACCATATGAGCTCTTTGCTGTAGCATTTCACATTCTGCATCCCAGTGCTGCTACTCTCTGAGACAGACGCTTCATACTCACTGCCAGTAACGTCTGCTACAGTGTGACCCAGTGCTTTAGATACAGTGAAGCATTCACAATAGCACAAACAAGATTTTCAAGCAAAACATTTGACAAAAATAAGTTTGTTAAGTTCTGAAATGCTACATCAATAGTTACCCTTGTGAAAAGGAAGAACACCCTTGAATGCAGTATTGGTCGCTTTTGGTTAAAAGCATCTGCCAAATGCATAAATGTTCATGTAAAATGAATGGCAACAGGACAAAGTGTCTTTCTGTACATTATTCCTTACAGTTTATCATTATATATTATAATCATTATATTATTATATTTAATGAGTGGTTATGGAACTTTACTTGAATACAAAGGGGATTTTATTTATTTACTTTTTTTGTAAATAAAACATCGTAAGGGTTTAGCTGTAACCTTTGTCCCAGGGCAACATGGCAAGAAAATGTCATTTCTATTTATTTTGAGTGGGATCAACAATTAGAGAGAGATCTGTCATAGAACAGAAGAGTCAAAAGTGAAATAATCAACCAAAAATAGACGGGAAGAGTCACAAAAAGAAGGTTCAAAAGAGGTCAAGATTTTAGGACAAAGAATAGATGTGAATCAATGACATGTGTATCTTTAATTGAAGGTAATAATGTTTTGTGATTAAAAACAATTGATTATCAATGTTTAATGTTAATGTTCTTTTCAAATGCGTGTGTGTTGTGTTGAAGTCCTCTTTAAGGTGTACTGCAGTGATCATACGTACTCCACTATCCGAGTGCCTGTCGCTGCGTCTGTCAGAGAGGTCATCGCCGCTGTTACCGATAAGCTGGGGTCAGGAGATGATCTTCTGCTCATCCACCTCAACTCAGCCGGAGGTGAACACACACACACACACAGCTGTAGCATTTCACATTCTGCATCCCAGTGCTGCTACTCTCTGAGACAGACGCTTCATACTCACTGCCAGTAACGTCTGCTACACTGTGACCCAGTGCTTTAGATACAGTGAAGCATTCACAATAGCACAAACAAGATTTTCAAGCAAAACATTTGACAAAAATAAGTTTGTTAAGTTCTGAAATGCTACATCAATAGTTACCCTTGTGAAAAGGAAGAACACTTTAGCATATACTTTAAAAAAAAGAGTACTTATTAAGCAAAAATTACTTAATTATGAAAAATTACTTAAGTGCGAAGGGAATGTAATTTTTTGGGGCACTTAATTGCATGCTAATTGTAATTAAATGAAAATGTATTGTAGTTTAAAATTATATTAAATGCATTTAGCTAAACTTTACATTTTCGAACCAATTTAAGTGAGACTTTATTACATTTTTATATGCATTTTTATATGCAATTCTGTTGTCTAGTTTAAGTATACTACAATTGTAAAAATGCTAAAACACTAAAACCAAAATGTAGTTTAATGGAATTTCTACTGAAACGTACATGTCATGTATTTCAAATATATTTGCAATTACACATTTGTAATGATGAAGTTGTGATTTGGTACATTAAAATTTAAATAAATATTAAACTACACTTAACTGCATGTAAATGTCCTTTTATTTCATTACATTTATATTATCTGCAAGTACGGATTTTAAAAATATACTTTTAAGATCTGAAGTGCACATTAAATACAATTAAGTGCAATCCTTTTTTAAAAGGGTTTGCTGTTTAAAAAGAAGGTAAAACTGTGACACTTTGTGGGATTTTCAGCAACAACATTCAATAAAAGCTTATGTAAGAGGCTATTGGTTGGATATCTCAGTTTTGGTTCTTTCGTAAACTGCACACATTAGGTCTCATAAACCAATAGTACATACTATACTAGATTTGTGAATTTTCGGAAGAATATGTAAGTGGAGCTTGTGCAGAACTCGCTAACAAGATATTTCTAAATGACTAGTTCACCCAAATCATTTTTTTGGGAAAATGCATTCATCCTTACAGCATCCAAGATGTAGATGAGTGTGTTTCTTCATCAGATTTGGAGAAATGTAGCATTCCATCACTTGCTCAGCAATGGATGCTCTGCAGTGAATGGGTGCCGTCAGAATGAGAGTCCAAACAGCTGATAAAAACATCACAAGTAATCCACACCACTCCAGTACATCAGTTAATGTCTTGTAAAACAAAAAGCTGCTTGTTTGTAAGAAACAAATCCATCACCAAGACGTTTTAACTTTAAACTGTCACTTCTGTCCGAAATACCCATCCATAATCTATATTAACACTTCCTCCAGTGAAAATGTCCACCCCCTGTTTCCCCTCACATTAAAATAAACAGACTTATTTGTTTTGGACTGTTTGCTTTGTAAACTGTGCTTGATCTGTGCATATTTCTCTCCTGATTCAGATGAGACAACTTTTTCACAGGAGAAAGCAATATTATAAATACTGGATTCGTATTTTAAAGTATCAGTTTGAATAACAAATTTGTTTCTTACAAACAAGCAGCTTTTCGTTTTACAAGATGTTAACTGATGGACTGGAGTGGTGTGGATTATTGTGATGTTTTTATCAGCTGTTTGGACTCTCATTCTGACGGCACCCATTCACTGCAGAGCATCCATTGGTGAACAAGTGATGCAATGCTACATTTCTACAAATCTGTTCCCATGAAGAAACAAACTCATCTGCATCTTAGATGGCGTAAATTTTCAGCAAATTTTCACTTTTGGGTGAACTATTCCTTTTAACTTGTTATTTGCTTTTTGACATGTAAATATTGCAAAAATACTTAGCATAGTTATTTTTAATAAGTAACTTCATGGTTTAGTCATTTGAGAAGCAGCTGATTACTGACATCTTTAAAAGCAGAATGACTGATGGCTGTGTGTTTGTGTTTTTCAGATAAAGAGCTTCTAAAGCCAGCAGATGTGTCCATCTTCTCATCACTGAGCATTAATGGTCGTCTGTTTGTCTGCCCGAGGGACCAGATCGACTCTTTGGTGTGTAAGAGCCCCCGGAGACTGCATTTATAACACACATCGGCTGTAAACACGCAGGATCAAACATACATTAGCTTACTGACTGGCTGATTAACTGATGAATCGATCGACTCGTTCATGCAGACTCCGCTGCCGGAGCAGGAAGGGCCGTCTGCAGGCTCCATGTCCACGTTTGAGCTCATGAGCTCGAAAGATCTGGCTCATCAGATGACTCTCTACGACTGGGAGCTCTTCGACTGTGTACACGAGGTACAAACACTTTGGTTTTAAAATTACTCTCACTTAAAGGGCTAGTTCACCCAAAAATGAAAATCCTGTCATTGTTTATGCATCCTCATGTCATTTCAAACTCACTTTGGCTCATCTTCAAAACACAAATGAAGATATTTTGAATGAAACCTGAAAAGATTTTGTCCCTCTAATAAATGTCCATGCAACCAAAATGTTGACATTTCAAAAAGTTCATGAAAACATGTAAAAGTAATCCAGATGAATAAAGCAGTTTAATCCAAGTCTGAAAAGACATAATATCTTTATATGATGAACAAATTTAATTTCAAATTTTCATTGTTTTACATATAAACATTGATCAATGCACATACAGTTGTGCTCATACGTTTACATACCCCTTGCAGAATATGCAAATATGTTAATAATTTTAACAAAATAAGAGAGCTCATGAAAATTGCATGTTATTTTTTATTTAGTACTGTGCTGAATAAGCTATTTCACATAACAGATGTTTATATATACTCCACCAGAAAAAATAATAACTGAATTTATAAAAATGACCCCATTCAAAAGTTTACATACCCTTGAATCTTAATACTGTGTGTCGTTTCCTGGATGATCCACGACTGTTTTTCTGTTTTGTGATAGTTGTTCATGAGTCCCTTGTTGGTCCTGAGCAGTTCAACTGCCTGCTGTTCTTCAGAAAAATCCCCCAGCTCCTGCACATTCTTTGGTTTTCCAGCATCTTCTGCATATTTGAACCCTTTCCAGCAGTGACTGTATGATTTTGAGATCAATCTTTTCACACTGAGGACAACTGAGGGACTCATATGAAACTATTACAGAAGATTCAAACGCTCACTGATGCTCCAGAAGGAAAAACCATGCATTAAGAGCCGGGGGTGAAAACTTTTTGAATTTGAAGATCAGGGTAAATTTAACTTGTTTTGTCTTCTGAGAAACATGTAACTATTTTCTGTAGCCTCTGAAGGGCAGTACTAAATGAAAAAAATATTATATTTAGGCAAAATAAAAAAAATGTACACATCTCCATTCTGTTCAAAAGTTTTCACCCCCCGGCTCTTAATGCATGGTTTTTCCTTCTGGAGCATCAGTGAGCGTTTGAATCTTCTGTAATAGTTGCATATGAGTCCCTCAGTTGTCCTCAGTGTGAAAAGTTACTTACATTAATACTTACTTTTGAGAGATGAACTAAAGATTTTGAGTAAGTTACAGGCTTTTGCAGGTAATCCATTGTGTGGTGCTGTTTGTACGAATTGTTTTGAGAAATGCACATACTTCTTTTCAAATATTAAGGATGAATCGAGAAATACACCAAAGTGAATGAGAAAAACTGTAAAAGTTTTTGTTTACATAATGTATATCTATGTACTGTGTATATTTATTATGTATATCTAAATACACATCCATACAGTATATATTTAGAAAATATTTACATGTTTTTACATATATTTATATTCATATAATTTATATTATGTACAGTTAGGTCCATATATATTTAGACACAAGCACAATTTGTATTGTTTTAGCTGCTGACCAAAATATATTTAAAATATATATAATTAAATGAAAAAAATATTATATTTAGGCAAAATAAAAAAAATTTACACATCTCCATTCTGTTCAAAAGTTTTCGCCCCCGGCTCTTAATGCATGGTTTTTGCTTCTGGAGCATCAGTGAGCGTTTGAATCTTCTGTAATACTTGCATATGAGTCCCTCAGTTGTCCTCAGTGTGAAAAATGGATCTCAAAATCATACAGTCACTGTTGGAAAGGGTTCAAATATGCAGAAGATGCTGGAAAACCGAAGAATGTGCAGGAGCTGGGGGATTTTTCTGAAGAACAGCAGGCAGTTGAACTGCTCAGGAACAACGCAGGACTCATGAACAACTATCACAAAACAGAAAAACAGTCATGGATCATCCAGGAAACGACACACAGTATTAATATTCAAGGGTATGTAAACTTTTGAATGGGGTCATGTTTATAAATTCAGTTATTATTTTTTTCTTGTGGAGTATATATAAACATCTATTATGTGAAATAGCTTATTCAGCACAGTACTAAATAAAAATAACATGCAATTTTCATGAGCTCTCTTATTTTGTTAAACTTATTAACATATTTGCATATTCTGCAAGGGGTATATAAACTTATGAGCACAACAGCATATACCCTTGTGAAAAATAAATGTGCCTTATTTTACTGAATGTGCACTTGTAGTGTGCTTAAAATATCCAAATCAAATCTCTAAAAACTGTACTTGCAGATCATATAATATTAATAAAATAAAAGTGTTCTTTCAAGAGAGTACACTTCCAAGATTGTTTCTTAACGCACTTACAGTAAGTACAATTTGTATTAAAATATAAAAAGTGCACCTTGTAATAATCTCAAAATTAAACGTTTTGCCTTTAAACACATTTTAAATCATTATGCTTTTAATTTGAACTGTAGTGTGTTATTCAGTATTACATTTAAAGTAATTAATGTACTAAATTGCAACTTCATCATTACAAATGTGTAAATACAGATATATTTAAATATACATGACATACAAGTTTCAATAAAAGTGACAATATAGTATATTTTAGTTTACCATAAATGTTTGGCAGAGCATTCAGCAGTACTTTAACCATATTTCATATAAGATAATAGAAGTGATTTTGAAATGACATTTAAAAAAGTCCTACTTAAAGGGATAGTTCACCCAAAAATGAAAATTTGATGTTTATCTGCTTACCCCCGGGGCATCCAAGATGTAGGTGACTTTGTTTCTTCAGTTCAAAATTTCGGCTGATTGCATTTAATATAAACTAAACTATAATATGATTTCATTTCATTGCAATATATTATCTATACATATAGTGCATTTTCATTTAATTGCTGTTTCACTCAGTTTTAATTGTCTGAAAATATTCAATTCAAATCACACTTAAATATATTATTTTTGCAACAAGTGCTCTTTTAAAAGTATGCTACAGTCTTCTTTTTCTCAAGAGTTCTAAAATAATCTTTATTATTATGTGTCTACATTTATATTGCATTGTATTAATCACCATTTCCAGTGGAGTTCTAGTAATTGTCTGTGTATTTGTGTTTTAGCATGAGCTGATCTACCACACGTTTGGCCGTCAGCACTTCAAGAAGACCACGGCTAATCTGGATCTGTTCCTGCGGCGCTTTAATGAGGTTCAGCTGTGGGTGGTCACAGAGGTTTGTTTGTGTCTCACGCTCAGCAAACGCGTCCAACTGCTCAAGAAGTTTATCAAGATCGCCGCGCAGTGAGTCTTCACTCATAAACATGTGACGTGTGTGTGTGTGTGTGTGTGTGTGTGTGTGTGTGTGTGATGAGTCATTTTGTTCAGAGGAGCGTTAATAATATATATGTACACATCTTGTCCCTTGTGAAAAAATTTACACTTTAGCATACTTGTGCTTATTATAGAAATAATACTCTAAAAGAATATACTTACTGTGAGTGCAAACTGAATGTAATGTTTCTGGATGCTTAATTGCATTTAATTACAATTAAATGCAAATGTAGGTTACACTTTATTTTAAGGTGTCCTTGTTACAGTGTAATTATACATTTAAGTACTGAGTAATATCAATTGACTTGTGTACTTTATATATGGTTAGGATTAGGGTTTGGCTTAGGGTTACTTGCATGTAATTATGCATAATTAATTGTTATTATAATAGTGCGTACATGTAGCATGTGTAACAAGGACACCTTAAAATAAAGTGTTACCAAAATGTATTATTTGTTTAAATTCAAATTAAATGCAGTAAGAGTGTTTTTTGACCCACTTAAGTAGGACTTAAATACGTCTTTATATGTATTTTTATAATTAGCTCTATTGTCTTTGAAATGGTTAAAGTGTACTACTGGATGTACACACACAAGCATTTACGGTAAACTATATTGAAATGTATTTGTAATTACACATTTACACATTTGAAGTTGCTATTTAGTACATTTATAATATATTAGCTTTAAATGTAATATTGAATAACAAACTACAAATTATAATCAAGTACTTCACATGTGTTTTAGTATGTTAGTCAACATATCAAAATAAGCGTACTACTGTAATAAATGACAAAAGATTATTAAAACATAATGATTTAAAATGGACTTTAAAGTAAATCTTTTCATTTAAAATTATTACAAAGTGCATTTTTTAAAGTGTACTTAAATGTGTTATAAAGCAACATACTCAGGTGTCTCATTTTCATTAATGGTGTAGTTGTGTGTCACAGTCTATGCTGTCTAGACTGCTCTTCTCTAAATTATGTGTGTGTTTTTGCTCTTTTTAAGCTGTAAAGAGTTTAAGAATTTGAACTCATTCTTTGCCATTATCATGGGCCTGGGAAACCCTGCGGTCTGTCGACTCAGTCACACATGGGAGGTGAGTATTCAACACACCTTGCTTGAACTTGTGACTGAGATATTATATATTATACACACACACAAAGACAGAAAACAGATACTGTCATGACTGACTGCTTAGTTCCATGTTTAACACTGATTCTCTGATATGCTTTTTCACAGAAACTGCCCAGCAAGTTCAAGAAGTTTTATGGAGAGTTTGAAAACCTGATGGTGAGTTCAGCATGGTAGTTCAACTGCTAGTGACCTAAACATGTCACCTAACATGAAAAGAGGATTTCAGAGATCTATTGTCTTTCTCATTGCAGGATCCCTCCAGAAATCACAGAGCGTATCGACTTACAGTGGCCAAGTTAGAGCCACCTATCATTCCCTTTATGCCTTTGTTAATTAAAGGTGAGCGCTGCTCTGAAATCACACACACACACACACCGGTCAAATGCTGCTTTATTAGTAGCATTTTCCATATTTTTGAATAATATTACAGTTTTTTTCGATTGCTAAATGACAGTGGGCACAACTGGAGCTACATGTGCAAAACTCTAACTACAGTCTGCACAGCAGCAGTTCATGTGGACCAAACTCTAGTTCGTTTTTCATTGCTTGAACACAGTTTTCAAAACTCTACACACTTATCCCATGACTTTAACCACAACCTGCACAACACTGTGGATTTACAGCACTTTGTTCAAATGCTAACACACTGCTGTCAAAACTGTGAACCACACATTCAAAACAGAATAGATTTCAGCCTTGTGCCTTTCAAACACTGCTGATTGCAATTTCAGCTGAGTAACTAAGTAACGTAATTAGTTACTTTTTTTATGGAGTAACGCAATATTGTAATGCATTACTTTTAAAAGTAACTTTCCCCAACACTGATTGTAACACATCTATATGGTCTTATTAGTAGCATTGTCCACATTTTAATTCAGTTTAATTCATAAATGAATTCATTAATAAAAACATGTTTTATTAATTAATGGTTACATTTCAGTTTTGGTCAAAATGTAAATGTATTTAATAAATCAAATAATACTATAATGATTGTATATATGTTTTAAATATATTTTTTTAAATAATTTAAAATGTAACTTATTTTGTAAGGTTCATTTGAATAATTATTCAAAAAAATATTTGTAAATAATATTCTGATATATAATAAAATATTATATATAATAAATAATGCATCTATTTATATGCATATGTCAATTTAAGACAATAATAATGATTAATCCTCAACATAACAATAATTACGTTATTAAAAATGCTATATTAAGTATACAACAAAATTAGCCACAATAAATGAAATACAACTCATACATTTTACTATTCTGTACATTTGGATATTTATTCACACATAATTCATGCAGTATGTGCACAATCAAAGCAAGGAGAAACTAATAGCAAGTTACAGTAACTGCAATAATCTGATGAAGTCAAGAGTCAAAATTCTCATTTAATGGAAGCCACAAAATGTTGTGAAGAACTGTTTCATGACACAAAAAGATGCAGGTTTTAGCATTGCTTAAACGTCCACTTCTGCGCTTTCAGACATGACTTTCACGCACGAGGGTAACAAGACGTTTACTGACAGATTGGTGAACTTTGAGAAGATGGTGAGTTTGCAAGGGACCTATCTCACCATCCCTGAGATCGTTTTAAATGGGACTTGTTTAATATGTCTTGTGTGCTTTCCAGAGAATGATCGCAAACACAGTCAGAATCATGAGATACTGCCGGAGTCAGCCATTCAGTAAGACACCAACATAAACTTCACATCAGACTCATGTTTGAGTTCATCTGATTCAGCGTTTCTCTCGCTTTCACACCTGCAGATCAAGAAGCACCGCAGGCGACTGGTAAAAGCCATCAGGATGTGCGGAGCTACATGCGTCACATTAGCGTGATTGACAACCAGCGTACCCTGTCCCAGCTGTCCCACAGACTGGAGCCGCGCCGGACCTGATCCTCGGCCCTCAGTGCTGCTTCACCTCTGCCAGTCAATAAGCTAGAGCTGCACATGAACAGAAGCCTTCCTCCGCTGCAGCGTATGCACACACAAGGGCTTTCCCTTTCTTTGGCTGCTTGTGTGAAAGCGTGGCTTCATTTCAGTGTACGGCTGTGGACGTTCAGAGCTCTGTTTGTGACCTTTCTTATATTCTGCCACGGATCAGATGTTCCCCTTGCTTTCAGATTGTGTTTGGAACAGTTGGACACTTTAAATGGTGTTTTGGAGTTTCAAAGAGTTTGTCCTGTGGGAGCTTTTGGAGACTCTTTTTTCATCATTTGAAGGACATTCTGAGTTTGCTGACCTTAAAAATACAGTTTAAAAATTTGGGGTTATTATGTTTTTTTTTTGTTTTTTTTTAAAGAAATTAATACTCAGCAAGGATGCATTAAATTGATGAAAAGTGACAGTGAAGACATTTATAATGTTACAAAAGATTTCAAATAAATGCTGTTCTTTTGAACTTTGTATTCATCAAATAATCCTAAAAATATATCACAGTCTCCACAAAAAACAAACTAAAACACACCCACACACAAATATATATTAGTGCTATCAAACGATTAATCGCGATTAATCGCATCCAAAATAAAAGTTTTTGTTTACATAATAAATGTGTGTGTGCTGTGTATATTTATTATGTATATATAAATACACACACATGCATGTATATATTTAAGAAAAATATGTTAAATTTATATATTAAATATGTTTATATATGATGTAAATTATATAAATATAAATATATACATGTAAATATTTTCAAAATATACGCTGTATGTGTTTGTATTTATATAAGCATAATAAATATACACAGAACACACACACATATGTTATGCAAACAAACACTTTTATTTTGGATGCGATTAATCGCGATTAATCGTTTGACAGCACTAATATATATATATTATTTTTAATTTATTAATTTATTATAATAATAGAAGGATCGTGTGAATGAATAAATAAATAAATGCAGCCTTGGTAAGCATAAGAAACTTCTTTCAAAAACATAAAAAAGTATTACCAACTCCAAACTTTTGAATGATAGTGTTTATCAATCATCTCAAAGCATTTCAAATTTCATTTCTACTTGTTTTTTAAGATTATGATTTATGGAAGTTTTGGACTGGATGTAAATTTTATCAAGATATTTATATCATCATGAAGAAGAAGAAGAAACAAACCCTAAATGGTGAAATGAGAAATTATGAGCACATTTCAAAAGCCTGTTGTTGGCTTGTCTGCAAACTTTATACCTCTGTGTGTCTTGTGTGAATAAAACTGTGGTAAGATGACACGTTACAGACATGTCAATGTCTTTTTTTTCACTCATTCGTAATTAAGTATTGTCCTTTTCAATTTGTCTCAGTTGATTTCATATAGTTTACAGCTTAAGAACAAATTTTCTTTAGTAAGCAGGTCCCAAAAACTGTTATCACATGCTCAGAATATATATTATATTATATTATTATATGTGACCCTGGAGCACAAAACCAGTCTTAAGTCGCTGGGGTATATTTGTAGCAATAGCCAACAATACATTGTATGGGTCAAAATTATCGATTTTTATTTTATGCCAAAAATCATTAGGATATTAAGTAAAGATTATGTTCCATGAAGATATTTAGTGAATTTCCTACCGTAAATATATCAAAACGTAATTTTTGATTAGTAATATGCATTGCCAAGAACTTCATTTGGACAACTTTAAAGATGATTTTCTCAATATTTAGATTTTTTTGCACCCTCAGATTCCAGATTTTCAAATAGTTGTATCTCAGCCAAATATTGTCCTATCCTAACAAACCATACATCGATGGAAAGCTATTTATTCATGATGATGCACAATTTCAAAAACCGCACGCACCCTTATGACTAGTTTTGTGGTCCAGGGTCACATATTATAAAATGTATACATTTTGATTATGTACACATTTTCAAATTGATTTTAATATATGATAATATGTTATAATAAATCACTATAATGACTGTGAATGCGTATTTAAAAAATAGGGTTTATTTTAATTGTGTTCAACTGAATACGTTTATAATTCTTATATGATTAATATTTTATGTGTAATTTTTAAAATATAATTTAAAAACAAATTTTAATTTTTAAATTTTAAAAGTTTTAAATGTTATTTATTTATTAAATTATAAAATATTATTTCTTAAATCACACCCTATTTAATGCATGGTGTGCAGGATTCAGTACCATTGGGGTTTAGGGTGATTTGTGTAGCGTCCGCTGGGTGTCGCTGTTTCTCTCCCGCTCCGCTGCGTCACTCACAGCGCAGTTCTGATGTTAGCAGCTCTGATCAGGAAGAAGTTGTTACACGTGAAAACACCGCAGCGGACGCTGCAAATATCTCAGTCACAAGTTCAACAAGATCTTCTTGACTGCTGTCCATCTCTCCAGGGAAGACTGTCAGCGGAGTACAGGAGTGCGGGTACGTGTGTGTGTGTGTGTGTGTGTGTGTATGTGTGTATATATGTGTGTGTGTGTGTGTGTGTGTGTGTGTGTGAGCGTGTGTCATCATGTGCTCTGATTGCAGATATGAGGACTTCCCAGTAAAACATTGACAAGCGAGAGGAATGTCAGCCTCATACATGTAATAGGGATTGTCCGCTTGTTGATCATAAGCCAAATTTCTTGCTTTCTGTCATGAATTGAATTATTCTTATGAATTCTGCGGATTTAAAGGAATAGTTCACCCAAAAAGGAAGATTTGCAGGAAATGTACTCACCCTCAGGCCGTCCAAGATGTAGACGAGTTTGTTTCTTCATCAGATTTGGAGAAATGTAGCATCACTTGCTCAGCAATGAATCCTCTGCAGTGAATGGGTGCCGTCAGAATGAGAGTCCAAACAGCTGATAAAAACATCACAATAATCCACACTTGTGAAGCGAAAAGCTGTGTGTTTGTAAGAAACAAATCCCTCATTGAGATGTTTTTAACTTCAAACTTCCAGCTAAAATATGAGTCCTATCCATAATAGTGCTTTCTCCAGTGGAAAAGTCATCTTGTCTGAATCAGGAGAGAAATATGCACAGATCAAGTGAAAATAATCCAAAACAGTTCATAAACAAGTCTGTGGATTTTGATGTGAGAGGACAACAGTGGATGGACTATATCTCTGTAGGAAGCGTTATTATGGATTATGGACTCATATTTTAGCCAGAAGAGATGGTTTAAAGTTAAAAACACGCAGCCTTTCGCTTTACAAGATGTTAACTAATGGGCTGGAGTGGTGTGGATTATTGTGATGTTTTTATCAGCTGTTTGGACTCTCATTCTGACGGCACCCATTCACTGCAGAGCATCCATTGGTGAACAAGTGATGTAATGCTACATTTCTCCAAATCTGTTCCG